AATGTAATTTGACAATTCAATAACGTTTTTGAGCTTTCACTGTAAATACTTATTAAAGATAATTTTAAGCGTGAAAACTGTCCATATTTTGATGTCATGGTATGTAAATTAAAAATTGTTATTTTACGGTGATAATCTTGTTTTCTTGTGCCCAATAATGCATAATTTCATTTGATAACCACGTTTAGATTAAATGGTAATTTATAATCAGTCACAAGAACGTCGAATCTGAATCACTTGAAAAAAACACTGGGGTGCTTAACTTTTTTTCAGGTGTATATATAAGCTCAAATGTGTTTTCTCTATCTGTGGGTCTATTCCTTATGTTTGGCCACATCTTTAAAGCTATAAACTCCAAACTTAGGGTACAGATACAACTTTGAGTGAGAGTAACATGGGCTGTGTATCTATGGCCTCAGAGGCAGTTTTGAGGCTGCAAATTGAGGCCGAAGTGACCAGTATAGCAATTTGTGGCAAACACCACAAGTTGAGGTACAGGTAGAACTTTGTGTGGGAGTAACATGAGCTATGTGGCTGCGGCCTCAGTGGCTGTTTTGAAGCTGCAAATTGAGGCCAAAGTGACCATTATAGCAATTTTTGGCAAACACGATGACCAATTGGTCTCAAATTGAAAAGGCTGGATTTGTTTCGTAATGTGTGATCAAGAGGGCTATTATTTATGTTTCTTATCTGTATGAAGACTTTCCCCTAATCATTTTATCCATGATCAATCATGTGTTAAAACAATTTAAAAACTTCATAGAGCTTTCATTTGCTTCTCTACTCATACTTTTTTCTTCTTTGCTCCTGACAACAAGACAAAAAATATTTGTACAAAGAAGCTTTACATTAGATCAGTAAATTAATATGTAAATCAAAAATTAAATTAGTCAAAGCCATTTTCGTCTGAGCAATGCCAGGTATTCTGCTGATTTAAAGATAGCTGTTGTATAATGAATGCTGCTGTCTTCACTGTTTATATAGATCTTGTATGATGAACATGTACTAATGATTAAGACAGTTAATAGCTACAAGCCACAGATTCTTCCCTAAGACAAACATCAAGAATTTTCTTCACATCTTAATTCACTGCAGCACTGTCCATTTTTTTTTGTAACTTTAGTCCTGTACAAGTTTCAAGCACAGCCATGTGTAACCCTTCTGTGGTAGCAGATTTCATGTCCTTTAACCCTATCGCCACGGGTATCCTTTAGTGTCTTACATTTATAATTTTATTAAACTACTTAGAATAGCATAAAATCTTAGCTAATAATCCATATTTTGATATTATACAAGTTTTAAGTTCTTAATTTTACAAGGCAATGTTAAAATAAAATCCTGAATTTCCACTAGTTTGACCCACGTGACACATTTTCTCTTACCACATCATCATCCATATTTTATCTACCACCCCTCACAAAAGTATGAAATTAAACATAAATTACTCTTTATAAAATTGCTATTGCTCAGACAAGCCATAATTTTTATAGTCTTCAATTTTGTTTGGTTACAGAGCTATCGAAATAGAAAATCAAACCCCTCTTGCCACACCCACCTGTCACATCCTCTCTTTCAGAATTCATTGATAGTTCTCTCTTACATTTCATTATATATTACCTATAACCAATAGAAAGTCAAAGTTTTCATCTATCAAATGATATTTTGTATATCATTATGTTCTGAACAGTTAGATGTCAGTTTCACTCAGAGTACCAACATCATTCCTGTGGGGAAGTTAACGACTAGCTTGGATGAATTTGTAATGGCTCTTGTCGCATAGTTAGAAAGCCAGAAAAAGTTTGAGAGGTGAGGGAATTTGTCTACTTTTTGCATGTTATTAGTCTATATTCTTTGGAGCATTATTTAATTAAATAAAAATTATGAAGTGCATTACTATCATTAGTATAAAAAATTAGGGTTAACTCTCTTCAAAAACTGACAAGAAAAAAAAAGA